TATGTGCCAAGCCAGAATATACACAGCCATGCATGATGAATGCAAACGAGGGATCTGGGTGATAATCGACAACGACAACGATTGCCATATAGCGCATGACACCGCATAATGAGCCAGAGCCAGTGTCAGAGCCAATGCCAGATATATGCAGAGGCAGCAACAGATACAAATTGAATGCTCATTTTACATTTCAGTTATTTGAACTGCAAACAGTTGGCCTCCTAAAAGTAAGCCTTAATATCTCATAAATTTACTTAAAAATTGGAAAAGTATTTGTGTCAATTTATACAATTTGTTGTAATTAATTATTGTATTATTTATAATATGAATATAATTTAGTTCATCTTAATAATAATAATAACTATTGTTTTTCCTTTTTGAAGTGAATATATATTTGACGTATTTTATTATTTTTGCAAAGTATCCAATTCAAACGACGCTAAAAGTCACCGACAATTATCTAATAGAGCTCAATTTCTGACATTTGCACATTATGCTGGCCAAATGGTTTGTTTATCTCGGCTAGCCCATATTTTTGCTGGCCAATCAATTTACAACTTGACAGTCAATCGCAAACCAAGCCCTGTGAAAACGTATATTTAAGCGCAATCAGACCAAGCCAATTGCGGGCCCAATGGATTCGCCAGCTAAAAGGGGGAGCTTCGGCTGCAAATACCAGACTAGGCCGGGGGCTGGAGCTGGTGCCGGGTGGCTTGTCGCATCGTTGGCGCCATCGACGACGAGTCTCCCCTGGTGACGATCCCAGAAGCAGCAACAGCTGAATAAACAGCAACAACAACAACAACAGCATAGGCATCAACAGAGCCGGAGCATAGAGCCCTAGCTAGAAGGTACGCAGGACGGATCGGGGGCTTGCGGCAACGTAGGGGGATGTGCACACAAAGCATTGAATACCGTTTCATCGACACTTTTTCATTGAATTCAATTAAAAGGCGAAATTGAAAATTGAAATTCAATTAAGATGCCATAAATACGTTAGGTGTGAGCTGTGTGTGTGTGTGTGTGTGTGTGGAGTGCAAACTGTACAGGCATCCACTCGATTATGATAGATGAGCTGCTGCTCCTGGCTCCTAGCTGCTGCTCCTGCTCCTACTCTTACTCCCTGCCAGCTAGGCCCTGAGCATGTGTGGCCAATGATTTTATTTTTTTCGCCATTATTTATATGGTCGCTTAGTGTTTTTTTTTTTTTTTTTCTGTGTTTTAAAGGGCTCGTCAACACACACTTGATGCTGGACCATTGATGGCGAATTAATTGATACTGCAATCAATCACAAGAGCTGACATATGCACTGCTCTTCGTCTAATTAAGTGAGAAGAATGAGCCTGAAATCTATTTGCTAATATTCGGACAGTATATTCATATACGATGGGAAACGGTAGTCTCTAGCTAAGCTAGGAATGCATTATAGAAACGAACTAAATATGCTTGCTTATCATGCTTAAACAGTTTGCACAAGTTCATGCTAAAAGGGAAAATTTGGAATTTTCACAAAATTATTAGAGCAGACGTAATCAACTGTTTGCCAATTGATTGCACTCATAATTTGTAAAACCACCAAGACATACAAAGACGCAGCAGCTGCCTTCAATTAAAACAATAAAGAAAGTAAGGATGATGCCGGCCAACTCCGGCTGTAGTCCTGGATACAAAGTGCAAGCGGTTGCTGCAACTTTGTTGAACTTGCGGCTCTGGCAGGCAACTAGAGGACCAAGTTGTTGCCCCAAGGGGGACAACCAGCCTGCTCAACCGTTCAAGATTAAGTCGCAATTTCCATGCCATTCAAGATCTTTAAGACAAATTTTTGCTTAAGCTATACCAAAGCTGAGCTGGACAAAGCCGTAAAGTTGATTAAAGCATTGAGTATGCGTCTTAAAGTTCATTAAAATAAATGAACTCGTCTTTCGGAGTAAAGCTTGAAAAGTCTGTTTCCGGCTAACATCATATACTTATTTTATAATGTCTGCAAATTTTCTTCGTTTGTCTTAACCATGTCGTATGCATAATTTATATACTTCACACACACACACACACACACACACACACTCACACACATGTCTATATGTTTTATTGCTTGCTCAGCTGTTGATAAACAATTTAAGCAAATTGCTGTTAATAGCTGCACGAATCCTAAGCGTATACGTGGCGTATGCGCAACATCTTCTTTCAGCTCAACTTTTTGCATTATTTGCAATTTAAGCAATTTATATTATAGCCTCATTAGCATCGTGTGCGTGTGTGTGCGCCCATCTTTATGCTAATGGAATTAAAATGAAAATTGAGTCAACAATATAATCACACTCCACAGACAGGGCGACAGATAATTTGGTTATAAGCATATATATGTATATATATATTATGTGCTCGTAATAACTGAAATGGCCATATAATAGTTTATTGATTAAATTGAGTTTGAGTGAATTAATTGGTCATTTTATTTCATTTAATTTACCAGCAACTATGAAGATATGTGCTCGATGCTCAGCTTAGCATTTACTTTCAAATCGAATATTATTATTATTTTTGTATTTCTTTAATTAACTTGTTTTTACATTGGAATCGAAAAGATGTGCTATGCGAAAAGCTGCTGCTATTGCTTGTCATTACGCTCGGGCTGCATTGCGATCTCACTTTATTCAATTTTTTGCTCTGTCCTGAACATAGACTTCATTATCTTGATCCTTACTGGTAAAAGTTATTTGCCTAATTTGCATCTCATTGCCATCAAAGCAATCATTTTTTCTTCTCCATTTTGTAGACTATAAAGTGGCCCGAATTAAATATCTATTTCCAGGTAGTATTTAAAGCATATTACAAACTGCTAATTTTCGTTTTAGATTAAAATGTTATACTTTGTTTCAAGTAAACGATCTAAATGTTATGCTTCAGCTGTTGCCAGAATTCCTAATGATAATCGCCGGCATTTTATTGTTCATTTACACACTGGCGGTAAGCATACAACCAGAAGAGACTTAGTAACAATAACTAACTTAATTTGTATTTTTAGCATATAGCTGCTTTATTACTCTTATATGTAATACTTGCTAGCAGTCTGTGCCTCTATGTACTTGCATTTAGCATAGTTTCTACCACAATGGGCTCTAATATGATTGTCAATGAAAGTAAAATGCATTTGATTGCCTATTGGATGTATATGGCCTTTAGTCTCGGTAAGTATGTATTTAGTTGCTTGTCAACTAATTAACTACAGTCTTTTTAAATAATTTCAGTATCAATGGTATACTTTATGTATATTGCGGTCTCCTATTATAAATATAACTTGGATCTGAGCCGTAGCTAAACTATAGTTTATCAAGTTTATAAAGGGATTTATTCAAAAAGCAAAATACTTTAAAATAAAGTTTGAGCTCAAAATTAATATGAGAATAATCATGTCTAGACATGAATACAGTTTTCAGAGTCTTTCTTTTGGTATTCCTTAGTTTTAAGGCCACAAATTGTAAATCAATAAACAAGCTTTGACTTTTTGTTTATTTTTTCTATAATACGCAATTGACTCGTCCAATGTCGAGAATAAAATTAATAGACTGTACACATTCTTGAGTGTTTCATTAACCCAAAGCGCTTTTCCTTTTTTTTTTTTTTTGGGTGGGTTTTTGTTTTAAAATTAAAATATTTGCTGCCTTTTTAATTTTATTGATACTCTGGGAATTTGCAAACGAGCCCAATTAACTTTGGGCAATAAACTGCAACATTTTTTTCACGATAATTGAAACATTTGCCAGCTGCTTAAAATTTAAGAACTTTAAGCAACAACTTTGTCAAAATTTTCGATTAAGCGCGATGCCAAAAAAAATGTCACAAACACGACAAATACGATAACTTCGCCCTCACCAGGAACAGATATAACTTCTCCCTGTTTTATTTTCCTTCATTTTTTTTTTTTTTTGCCTATTTAAGGAATACCAAATTTCAATCAATAAACAGGGCTCAGGGCAACCAAAGGCCTTGTCGCTTGTTCATTCATAAAACTTTGAGCCCGTCCTCATGCTTCAATCAATATTTTGTTGTTGTTATTTTTTTTTTTTTTGCGCAAACAACAGACAACAGGTTGTCATTTGGTCAGCCTAAAGTCCTGCCCAACTGCCTCGAGGATTTAAAAATACCCAAATTAATAGTTAAATTAAACCTGAACTTTAACTATCTTTGGCACAAATAAAAAGCTTGCTAATAACAAATCAAAGTGAAAGTTTTGCCATAATTATGCTTAGTAATAATTGACCTTCAGCTAGACTGCGTAGGCCGTGCAGAACTGAAGAGAATTATAATTATCTTAACCCTGCCACAATGAATCGTTATTTAATTAATATAAAACAACTGCGACAAGTCAAAGAAGTTTCCAGAGTACCGCGCACAACATGGGCGTGGGCCCAAGCTATCGTGACAAGCCCAAATTAACTGGCGTCGGGGTTACATCAGCCCGGAGCTGGTTAAAGCACGACCAACGCGTAACTCAATTTAATGCCGAACGATGTTAACTTAAAGAAAGGACAGGGTTCATAGTTCTAAGGTTGCGAGCTGTTTTTTGAAAGACAAGTTCAAGGAATTACATGATTTTATTTGAAAGTAGCTCAGCTGCGGTTAACGAGAATATTTAAACAAAAACAGTTCACAAACTAGTTTAAAAGTAATGTAAAACACAGGCTTATATTAATACTTTGTATACCCAAATCAATTTTTTAAATCTCTTGTCAATATTTATTTCGTTAGATTTTTAAATGAAATTTTTTGAGAGTCTCGCTGCCTTAGAAAACATGGCTCATACACGCGCAGAGCTTAGTTGAAAAGCAGAGCGAATATATTGTTTAAATTAAGAAGGGGCATCCTTTAGAAATCTAATTTGATTTAAGCCAGCTGCTGCTTTTGCCTCTTGTTCGTCGTCCGTCGTTTGTCGCGGCCCGTTGCCATGGATGAGCCGGAGGCGTGAGCGTGTGAATCATTGGAATCATTTCGCACTTACCCGTCGTCCCATTTTCCTGATCGCTCAAGTCGGCCAGGGAAGCCGACAATGTTGTTGCCATCATCGCCGTCGTCGTCGTCGTCGTTGTCTTCATTGGTTGCGTTGCATTTCTGCCGGCTGTTACAATAATGGATGCGTTCGTGCCATTTTCCGTTTTCACAATTTTCGCATTGTGGCTTACCATGGCAAAGAGGAAAGCCAACACCAAAACGAAAACTCACAGCCGCCAGCTGCGCGATGAAATTGCCTGCCTGGTGCAGGCGACAGGCTGCACTTGTTGCCGCCCGCTGAAAGGAAATTGAGCGAGAGGAAAAGCAAAATACATGAAAATGAGTTTCCTTTCGGTTAATGACAAGCAATTAAGTGTTTAAATTGTTTCAAGCTCTTGAATTATTTAGTAGTGCATACATCAATCTCTACATAAAACTGTTAAAAAGAAACCGAATGTTAAATGTTGTCCTTCTATGCGATTCTCACGAATTTAAATAGCACTAACAAGTCTTCATACTGTGACTATAGGTTTTTACTTTTTTTGGCGAACTTTTGCATTTATTTTCTCAAGCTCAATCTCATACATCAATCTATACATAAAATTGTTAAAAATAAACCGAATGTTAAATGTTGCCCTTCTATGCGATTCTCACGCATTCAAAAAGCACTTACAAGTCTTCATACTATCACTATTGGTTTTTAAATTTTTTTGGCGAACTTTTGCATTTATTTTCTCAACCTCAACCTCTTGCTCCATGTTACGCATACTAACTTAATCATATCAGCTCTTTACTTATTTTAATTGCAGTGATGTGTTTATTTAATAGTCAGCACATTTGGGTAAGTACAGCAGGTAAATAATATATATACATTTATTTTTTGTTAACATATAAAACGATATTTATGCCATAAAATGTAAGCAGCGCAAACATTGTAAGTTTTCTGTAATCGAAACTTATAGTCAAAACTAAAAGAAAATTGCTTGGCCCGGGAAAATGTTTGCATATCAGCTGCGTAAAGCTTACATCTTAAGTTTAGGTTGTTCTTTCATTTTGTACTTTGTGCCTAGGATCTAGAAACATTTATGTTACATTAAATATATCAAATGTTATACCAAGAAGGCGTGTTCCTAGCAACACTTACACTTTGTTAAAATATCAAAAACATTTCGCGAATGCCAACACTTTCAGCGTGCAACAAAAAAGTTGTTTTCTCTATTTAATATAACGAGTACACGAACAAGACTTTGCCAGGTTTCAGTTGTAACATTTTGTCAACGCATTTCACCTTGTTTCAACTTGCACACTTAAACGTATCCATGTGGATCTGTGAGCAACACTTGACAAATCTGCTTGCCTCAATTAAAAAAGTTTCGCCCTAATACAATGGAACGAAGACAGTCAGACGAAGGGGACACCCCACGCAAGCTGTAAGTGGAAAAGGTATTTTAGCTTTTAATGTTACACATTTCTTTCAACGCCTCAACTAGTCTAGGAATGCTTGAAACCAGCTCAAATTTAAATCCTATCTCTGTTAAATGTGTGTACTTTTATTTTTTAAGCTGCCAACAGTTAGGTTGTTTTATGTTGACAGCCTTCTGTGAAATATTTAAAATATAACTTGTCTTTGAACAGAAACAAGTTTGGTTCTAGTTCAAAAATCGCAAACATAAAATAAGAGACATCCTCTTTGTATGCATACAAACTTTTGCCATATGCTGGCACAACTTGATGTGCGTGTGAGCCTCGTCTTGCCAAAGTTTGTTTCGAGAATTTATCTGTTGACTATTCCAACGCTAGTTGCATCTTTTGGATACACTCAAAGGCTGCATTTAAAGTGGCGCGTGCAGCAGCGGAGACGAAACTTAAGGAAATTTAAAAAAATGTTGCATGTATTCGCAGTATTTAATATCAAACTTATTCAGCGCGGAAATTCGCCGATTGTTCTGCTTAATTGGTGCGTGATAAATATCAAACAGAATTTATTGACGCCATTAGCCTCAAATCGTTTAGCGCCCGGCACAATGGTGTGCAACGGAGCGTATGCGTTATTTCAGAGAAAATTCATTAAAATGCCAATTCAATAAGTTATGTGCATATTATACAAATGAAAACAATGCACACGAAATACACTTGTCAGTGCAATATGGTAACATTTTATGCCACGACTATTTTATGCACTTCAAAAATGTCAACATATTTAATTTTAAACGCAATTTAAAAATGCCAAAATATTTAGTAGGATAGTGACGTCACATTATCAAGGGCTGGCATTCACAGAAGCACACACGGTCACTCTGGCAGTTGGTCCCATGTGTGTTAAGAGTTATGTTAAGCATTACTGTTAAGAAGAGTTAGTGTGTGACCAGTGTTGAACAAATGAACTGAGGCTACAGCAAGAACAGTAAGACCTGTATATACTTTATTTAATGAACATATACAAATAAAAGTATTTAAGAGTTCGTTTGAAATCTCTTAAGTTGCATTTCAGTGTTTATTTATTAAAAAATCAAAAAGTCATTCTGTTCGTGATCCTATTAGCGATGCAGTTGATTAATATAAAGCAATTTCAATGGCATTTTCACTTGAGCATTATTATTATTATTATTATTATTATTATTATTTTTATGGTTTTCGCTTTGTTCGCCAACCACTTGTAGATTTTCGCATTTTTAAGCAGCAAACGAGCAAAAGGCGGCCACGCGTTTGACCTGCACTTAATACAAAAAATAAAAATGAAGAAAAGAAACAATAACAAAAACAAAACTTGGAAAAACTACTCATAAATAAACACACACACACACAAACACGTTCATATAGTCGGGCATTGTTATTCCATCTCTTTCTGTTCTCTATTCTATCTCGTTTTTGTTACGTTTTGCTTGGCTTTGCGCGCCAGAGCGAGTGTTTTGTTTTTCTTCTTCATGAATAGATATATATATGTATATATATATATATGTGTGTGTGAATAGTTTTTTTGTTTACCCCACAAAATCGCCGGCGGCAGCAGCACAGCGTTTACCTAGTTTATTTAAGTTAGTGCAAGTGAGAAGCACCTGGAGTGAAATGAAAATAAATAAATTTAATAGCTTGGCATGCCAGCATGTATTTTCAGTTTCAAGAAGCTTGGCAATAAAACTGTGTTAATATTTAAAATGCAATTAAATAAAAGAAAAAATGCACATTAACATACAAATTTAATGCATTTAAATTTTGAAATGCACTAACAATCGCAATATTTATTAAATCTTCTCATAAGTTTTGACTAAACTGTTAAATTAGTTTGCATATTTGTATTAGATATTTGCATTTCAATATCATTTCAATATCAAGTTAGTTAATCGTTTTACACGAATACGATTACCTAGAACTTGAACTCGAATAATTTCCAGGTCATGTTTATGACGTCAACAACGTTGCGTATACGTAATCTCAATTTGAAATTACGTAGAGTTCGCTCTGATAAGGCCTAGCGAAAATAAATAACACAGACTAAAAACGAAATGCCAGTCAATTATCACTAAATTGCATCAGAGTTATTATCGAAATTATCATTAGGCGCACAGAGCGCAACGAAATGGACAACAAATGCCGCTTGTTAAATGGAAAATTATCAATGTTTTTTTTTTTTTTTTGCTTCTGTTATTGCAATTGTAAAGATCTATTTACTCGGGCAAGCATAAAATTAAAAGCCAACAGCACACAGACTAGTTTCAACATATCAAAATAATTTGCGCGGGTAATTTTTATCAATTTTGCAAATTGTGTGAGGTCGTCCGTTTCGGCTGCCACACGCATTTGTCATGCTCTCGCATATTGCCTTTAGTTTGCTATCTTTCTTTGCACTTGCCCACTCTTTCTTGCCCGGTTCTATCAATAAACATTTTATACAAATCATACAAAATATATTTGCCTTAATAACCTTGCATTCTTTTCGCGCTGCGCGCCGTTTTCCAAGTGTTTGTTGTTTGGAATTGATTAAAGCAGCCCCCAGCCAACGACCCGACGCCTGCTCCCTAAACACTCGCACACACATGATTGAGTGTATGTGTGTGCGTGTGTGGGACTATGTGTAACTTACAGTTTGTCTGTTTCTGTTTCTGTTTCTGTATCTTTGACTTTGATCGTTCATGATTAATGATTACGCCCGTGTTTATTGCCTCTGCTACCGTACACAGTCTCATGTGCCGTAAGATATTTCAGTTTTTATCGCTCTCGGGGGTTTCCTGAATGCAATGGTGTCATATTTCAATTGAAGCACACACGCAAATGGCTTGAATGTATTCGCATGTGCGCTGCTGTCTTCACTCAAGTAGCTGACGAACAAAATCGTTATGTTAAATTTGTAACATTACTGGAGATAAATATGCCAGTCAAATTTCAACAATTTTTCACGGATCTCAGGGGAAATATGATTGTTCGTTTATGGTTTCGACCCTTTAAAGTGTGTGGCACATGTTGTGTTTTTATATATATATAAAATATAAAGCTTTTTGGTAATATTTTCAATGCATGCTTAAGCTCTGTAGAAACGAACATTTCTCGGTTAGCATTTCTTAAGTCTGTTAATTTAACTATGAGGCTAACATTTAGAAAATGAAAATGTTAATTGAAAGATTATTGAATAAATAGCTTACGGTTATTTACACAAGTATGTTATTTATATCTCTGTTAAATCTATTAAGACATCACAATCTGTTAATAACATTTGCAGGTTACATGGAATCTTCTGCTATTTTAATTAACATTACATTATTTATTAGGGCATTAATTATGAAGTGTTAATTTCTCGTGTTTGTTCTGCTGTCTGATTTACTTAAACGGCAGTCAAAACAAAGCTTCTAGCATATTGTGCATTGGCAACCCTTATTTTTGCCCAACAGCAAATTGTATAAACCTTATGTTGACAAACTTAATAACTCTATTAAATGCCTGCCAAAGAGCTTTGTGGCCTTTAGAGGGCATTCTTGATGCAATGCAGTTTTAATGCAATTAGATTGAGTCCAGCACCTGCACTCGAATTCCCCATCGAGCCAACGAAAGTTTCCAGTTCCAACAGTCGAACAAAGGATTGCGTATACGCAGCGTTGGCTCGCTCCGGCAAATAGCACTCAGAGTTTACAGCATGCGAATGGCTGGGCAATTTTTGTTTTCAAAACCAAAATCGTTGCCAAATGTGAACATGGGCGTAAATGGTTGTGGGCTTGTTTGGATTTAGTCTTTGTGGTTTCTCTCTTTTTTTTAATTTTGATTTTTTTTTGTTTTTTTTTGTTTTGTTTTTTTGTCGGTTTGCAGCT